TTACGTTTTGTCTCCCTTTTCCTCATCGGTATCTGTGGCGATGCAGCCTTTGCTCGAGTGCCAAACACTATTCCTCGGCTCAAGGAGTGGATCGAGGGCATTTTCTCGCAGATGCCTTACTCTGAGCACTCGTGGCTTCAACTCTCGAAGGGCCGCTAGGAGGCCCATTCCCACGGTAAGATTTCTTTCCCGAATAAGTAACACTAGGCTCCCTTTTTCAGCATCATGTTCTCATTCCCTCTCTTTTCTTTTTGCAGGCTTGCCTAAGACCATTGAGCTTAGGTCTTTAGTAGGGGTCGAAGACCTGTCCATTGATCCCTTCGCTCCGGGACAGCCCGAGGATACAGCAGGAGAGAAGAAGAGAAGGAGGGCTCTGAGTTCCTCGAGCTCGGAGAAGCCAATGATACGATTGGACCGCAAGTCGAAAGAGAGCTCCAGCTCCTGAGCGCCCGACTCGGACTCGCTTTTCTAGCTCAGGGACGAGCCCGAGGAAAGCGATGTTTTTATGGCCCGCGATTCATCTTTTCCCGAAAAGCAGGCGGCAGCCGAGGGTGAAACAACAGAGGCTAACCCCCCCTCAGGTTCAGGAGGCTGTTGCACAGGTGAGGGCTGAGACCTCTCGAGACGCCGGTTCCGCTCTGCCCGGTGTCATAGAAATTTTGGGGTCGCCTTTGTTCACAGAGTCTATGTTCAATGAAGCCCGAGCGACGAAGGAGAGATTCAACGAAGGGACCCATGGTGCGGATGATCCCCTCCGTTCCGTTTTTGAAGGTGTGGACTCTACTTCTCTGGAAGACTTCTCCGGGTTCGGTGATTTAGAGGTGCCGAGGAAAGGCTCATCCTCGGAGGTCAGCAGGCCGAACTCGAGCCCAAAATTAATCAACTGGTTCCCCGTCCCGAGCATGGACCCCAGCCGGAAGCGGTCAGTTATCATCACTGTCCCGAAGGATGCCCGGGTTCTTTCCACCCCCGTTAGAGTAGCTAGCTACCTCCGGTGCCTGGTAACTAAAGAAGACCAGGCAAAAATGAATGAGGTGGATGTGCCGTGCTTGTTCAATGAAGCGCAGCAGGCACTGAACCGGGTAAGGCGTCATTACATTTTTCCATCTTCAGACTTAGTTTTTGATATCTCTCATGCCTCTTATTTTTTATATTTTTGCAGGCCTCGGTACTTCATCATGAGAGTTTTCTCCGGTACCGGGCTGAGGTTAACCAGCTCGAGGTCGAGGTCAAGAAGTTTGCTGAGAAGAGGGACATGTATAAGCTTCTTAGCGAGAAACGCGAAGAAGCAGTCAAGAGTCTCCAGGCTGAGTTAGATACGGCTCAAAAGGAACATGCCGGCCTGGTGGAATAGGTAAAAATCTTTGAAGTTAGTGATGACGAGTTAGACGTGGCGACTAACGGCCAAAACTCGCAGGTCCAGCAGAATGTTGACAGGATCAACCAACTCCGAGTCGAGATGAACGAGGTCAAGGCCATGGCCGAAGGGTGGAAAGGAAAAATAGATCGATTAGCCTCGGAGAAGGAGACTGCCCGGGAGAAACTGGCAACGGTTGAGTTCCAACTCTGAGTGGTGAGAGAAAAGGCCGAAGCACGGGCTCAACAAATTGAAGACCTCCAATCTCAGCTGAGCTCGGCCACTGCTGAACGGGATACTCTTGGCAAGGAGCTTGAGATTGTGTCGGAAACAACCAGGGCTGATGCTGAGGAGATGGTGGTCCAGTACAAGCCTGATGCCGAGGCAGCCCAGGACCGCCTGAAAGTCACTGTTGAGTACGTAAAGTGGCAGTCCCGAAGGGAAACTCTCGAGGAGGTCCACGCTCGGGGTTTTGACCTGTCGGCTGAGATTGAAGATGCGAAAAGGCTCGAGGCCGAGGCCAAGAAGCTGGCTGACCCCGATGAGGAGGAGGGCTCTGAGGGCTCCGGTGAACCCAAGGATGGAGAAGACCCTGATGCCCCGGTTATGAGGCGGGTTCCGGTGAAGATGGGGCTTAGGCGCCTTAGGGATTTTTCTTTGTTTTTGTATTTTGTTCATTTTGTTGAGGCCGTTATCGTTGGCCTTTGTAAAGACTTTTATTGGAATGTATACAAGGCTTTTTTCCCTTTGGCAATTTTTGAATTCGTTTCTTTTGGTTTCCTCTTTATGATTGCAAAGATTTCAAATGCCTTAGCACGGAATAAAACGTAGTACTAAGGTCTTGTTTGGAGGTTCTAACAAGACTCGTGGGGGCTCGGTATGACCGGAGGCTTTCCCCGAAGTTCTTATTTAGATGTTTTTAGATTATAAATTTGTCAAGGGTAGCCTTTGAACCGGTTTGGAATTTTTGAAGGCCTTATGTTTTGATTACGGGTTTCGGACGTCTCCGAGCCGTTTCTAGGGTGGTCGTAGCCTTTTAAGTTCAGGTATTACCTAATAGGCTTTGTACCTTTGGGCTTCGATAGCCCGAGCCATCCGAACTTGCGTTGGACGACAGTCCCCGAGCGGGGGTGATCTCTTAGATCCGGATAGAGGCGGCCCTTGGGCTCGATATCCTTTAAGGAACAAAATATAATAGTTTTAAGGGACAAAATATGTATTTGGAAGGTGGAAACTTTCATTCATTTCTGTGCGCAATATACAAGATTGTAAATGTGTACAAGCTTCGTGTTATGGCTTAAGTGGTCTATGTGGGCACGGTTCATTTGACCGTTTGGCCCTTACAATAAATCCTATCCACTAAGCCAAGACTGTTCAAGCACAAAGTTTCCTTCCTTGATAAAATCGTTATCTGAGGGTGATGGCCACCAGTATTCGAGGTCGATCGTCGAGAGGGCTCGGATACTGTTGATGTGACCCTCGATTCCGGTTCATAACCGGTCTTCAATTCTAAGTTAGCACGATCTACTGCTGCCTCGTTAAAAACCTTGCCGGATAACAATTAAACTTGTAAGTGGTTTTAAGGATACGCGAATTATTTTAATACAAATGATAAATTACGTAAGATTAGACAGATAGAGGATGTAATAAATTGTCAAACCGCTTAAGGGGGGAGATTCCGGACTCAACAACAGCCTTAATGAAATATCTGCCCTCGATCCCAGACTCACAACAACTAAGCATTGATGAACAAAAATAAGAACTTTGAATAACAGAGAAAATAATAGTATATTGCCTTGATATGCGCGTTACAGTGTCGTTAATGAATAATCAGAACCCCTCTCCCTATTTATATAGTAGGGGAGTCCTACTCTAAATACAATTCCATAAAAGGTAAAAATCTTTCGTTTAACCAACCACCGAATTTCTGCCGATACATGTCGAGATCCACGTCGTGATATCCGGCTGGTCATGGATATCACGGCCTATTGTTAGTCGTGCTCGATTGCCTGGTAGTGCTCTCCGGGGCCTTTGGGATTCGAATCGAACCCGGGGTCATGGCCCCGATACTCCCGAGTCTGAGCGTTTTGCCCGGATCTCGGCTCGAGAGGGTCCTTGCCTCGATTCTGGTCCCTTGTCATCACGCCTCTTGCTCCGTTTATCTTATTGGAAACTGAGGCGTCCCATGGGCCCGGTTTCACCTGTATACAATTACGTACTTTGAATAAATATTTAAAAGGTTCTCACACTCTTTTTATTCTCAATTACGTAAATAGATTTAGAGTTTTAATGCTATTAATAAAATTACTTGTATAGAAATTTTATTTTTATTATAGAACTTTCTATTTTGTATATCTTTCTTTGTTCAACTTTATTATCTGATATGCTTGATTTTAAATATTCACTTTTTAACTTCAGAAAATAAGATTAGATTTATTAAGTCCATAATATAGAAAAAAAGAAAGAGAAAAATACATGATATTATAAAAGTAAAAGAGATGCAAAGGTTGATAATATAAAGGACAAAATAAGCATTTAAACAAGCCAATTGAGATAGGAATGGAAAAATTGTTAATTGTTCAAAGTTCGAGGGGATTACCTTGTTAAAGTTGGACATAGAAATGATTTTCCCCCTTAGTATACTTATACGAACAAAAACTTTCACCCTTAGTATACTTATACAAAAAATTTATAACTATCACTTTATACGAACATATATAAACATTTTTAAGAGGGAACTTAATCATGCATGCCAAATTGTTTATTTATTTATTATCCCGTACTTTCAGTAGACCTCACTTTAATTTTCCTCTAAAATGGTTTTCCTTAGTTAATGTAAGTAAATCTCATAATTATAAATCTTATATAATTCTTAATCATATCATCATCATCTTTTTTTAATGTTATTTTGTACTACTTGTCATAGTGAATTAGACCTCGAGATTTTATTGACAAATACAAAGTTAATTTACTTGTCAGACCTTATGATTCTAGTCAGCTCGTCTTTATGAGGCCAATAATAGGTAATTCTTTTGTTAACCACATGTAGAATAGTTTAGGTAGTCGAGTAGGCTAATTAAAATTTATCTTTCTTTTAATGTGCAACCGATTCATATACATTAAGCTCCCCTTTTTCTCACTCCTTTGCTTTTCTTTCCCCCCTTCTTAAAGTAAAATTGCTTCTTAGAGATCAAATGAAATGTGAATAACTCGTCCTCCTCTCTTTGAAAGAAATGGCACTTCTTGTTCTATCATTGCTTAACACAATTTTGTGTTCTTCCCTTTTATTGTACAAGTCAAGCTGAATATATATAAAAAAATAGATTTAAAAGTATTTAAATCCATAAATTCACTACAAAATAAGGCCAAAACCAAACCCTTCTTCGTACAATTTTGAATTTATTTTAGTGCTATGTTTATTAGGAGTTTACTTAGGTTTAAGTACATAATAATATGACCATTGTAACTAATGATATACTCTATTTAGTTTAGAAAAAAAAATTTGGCTAAATTAATTACTAGTCATTCAAAGGCCCCTCTTTCGGCAAAGGGTACAAAGTATGTGAACTAGTAAACAAAATTAGGCAAAGAACAAAGGAAAAGTTTTAAAAAAAAAAAAATCTAGTGCATTATAAAGCCAATATGACTGGATAAAACGATTTAATATAATTAAAGGGTTTCTTTTTTATCAAGAAAGTAAATGATATGTGAAAACAACAACAACAAAAACAACAACAAATCCAGTATAATCCCACAAGTGTGGTTTGGAGATGGTAGCGTGTACCCATACCTTACTCCTACCTTTAAGAAGGCAGAGAGGCTGTTTTCGGTAGACCCACGGCTCAGGTAAGATAAAAAGGAAGGAGCGCCAACAACAAACCAATCCGAAACTGAAGCATAATAAACAATGACCTTAATATTTGAAAAGCTGTGCTGAAACGGGCTCTCGTGGGAAACTACTGGGTTTGTTGTTGTTGTGCTGAAACGGGCTCTTTAGACCCTCACCCTCGGCATTCTCCAAGTCCTGATACCAACCATGCCTCAAAGTCAGGACAATAGAATAGGCGTAAGTGCTCGTCTTAGCAATTACACCATCCAAGTGATAATGTCGTCATGAGTTCGGTCAAGTAACTCATGCTTCCTACTCCTAACACTTCGCTTACTATTTGACAACGTCCAGCAAATAATCAAGTGCAGTCTTAAAGGCTTCTGGACCAGCAGGGAGTCGGAACAAATTAGGCTTCTACCAACAACGAGAGCTGAGCGCCAAAACTAGTAAATTTCCAACACACCAGCTCATTTGACTCTCGATAAGCAGCGAGCAAAATCCGTATGCAGTGCATGTCCACCCTGCATATATGAAGTTACTTAAGCAGCTGAATTCGATCAATTAAAAAACTATTAGCAAATTGTTCTATCTCCAACAAATATTAGGAGATGTTTACCATCAATCTAATGTTGGACTTCTCAGCAATCCAAAAGTATATTTCATCACTACAGCCTTGTAAATACAATGCCTTCGACATCACCCATATCATGTACTTTTTTTATAAAAAAAAGAAAGTCTTGTTTTTACTTTTCTCCAGAAATGAAGTTACCAAATTATGCCCATGTCTCAGCCACAATACGTCAGGGGCATAATGGCTAGATTAGTGCCCTCTATCAATAATAAAATTTTGCACTTCCAGTACCAGTCAACTTCGTTTGTGCAAACACATACAACAAAGCTCATCAATGACTTCATGAGCACATGCACAAAGACATTTTAAACCTTCGCACTTAATCCAAATAGCAAAGTTATTCAGAGGAAAAAAAAAAAAAAAAANAAAGCTGAGAATGCAAAATTGAAACACAAAAAAAACTGGGACAGTGCTCACAATATGCATATGCCTATAGTAGTGCAGGGAATTGCATTACAATGACTATGACGAGAAGAAGGTAACCACGTTCATGATGCCTCAACAATGAGGTTCAGGACAGATACAACACCATTGTAGAAATAAGATGCAGAAAAAGTTTTTACTGAGTAGAATTTAATGCAGTTTCTCTTTCACCTTTCTTCACAGAAGCAGAACATATAAGAACCTTTGCTAAAGAAGGCAGCATACTACATCGTAGTAAGCAGTGGCTTTAGAAAGCTCCCCATGCCAATCAGAGTTTCAGCCAGATTTGAAAGCTCTATATAAAGCAGACGTGAGAACAAGGATTAAACAAGAGATCAGGCAGAGGCTAAGAAAAGGTCACATTTTCTGCTAGACAATCCTTTCCATGGTCCATCACCATTAAACACCAAAACTAAATAATTGGAAGGCAAAGAAACAAACCTTATAGACAATAATGTGTGCCACTGGAAGCCCTTGGTTACCACCCTGTGCCAAAAGGGAAAGATCACCCATAAGATCTAAAACCTTGTGTCTGCAAGGTTCATCACTGTAACGCAGTGGTGGATTCAGCCAGCCTCTACTTTCACTGTAGAAGAGGAGATATCATATGTGAGGTTAAATCAAGAAAATACACCTAGTAGAAAGCATAATGGCCTCCGGTTGACGGTGGTGGTAACTTTTCATAAGGATGTATCATCCTAGCAGGCATGTTATATCTGATTAATATAGAACGAGACATACCATGCATCATTAGCTGACACTACTTACTCTTGATCAATTATTGCTTAAATTTTCGGTAAGTTAGATGAAGTGTAAGTGTTACCTAATTACATTTTCCAGCATTTTTCCAAATACAACTGAAAAAGAAAGTATCCCTTACCTACAAACAATGGCGTTTTCAGTGCTACCCCCTTTGATAAGTCCTGATTTGCGTAGTTGTTCAACCTGGACAGTTATTCAGCATAGAAACCATGTAAATGCCATAAACGTAACAACATGAATGATGAACCATCAACTATGCTTTGACTCCATAACTATTGATGAAAGAGGACTACCTTTTCATGATAACCAACTAGAAGACGGATGATGAAAGCAATAAATGTGAAGAAGAAAGCACAAATTGAGCTAAGTCAATTCACAAAGATTTCGCATCATGAAACACAAATCAAGAATGTCAAGTTTTTTTTTGGGAGGGGGACAGATTTTAGTTATTTTTTAACACCTCCAAGACAGCTCAAGTGCTGAAAAAGAATGTCACAAGATGCTCAATGATGACACTCTTCTACAAACAAGAGCAATACCTGACTATCAATTGATAGCATTGATGGAAAGCTCAATGACATTAATGACAAAGATGAATATTTGGAAGCTCCAAGAAACCCATAACAAGATCCCAAACAAAGAAATTTCAAACTAGTGGAAGAAGAGTTCAATCCCAGGGAAGATCTTTTGGCCAAATCTTACAACTATTTGGAGGCTCAAATTGAGGTCCAAGAGAAGGTGGACTGGGGCCCAAAGCCAACCCAAAAAGGAACAAGTCCAGCAGCCCAAACTAGTGCTTAACTCTAGCTTAATGGAATCTGCTTAAATAATTGAGCCTTCAACGCCCCCTCCCCCTAGAAATTTCAGCTTATTTAGTTTAGTTTGACCACCCCCTAAGTAATTTCAAGGGGTTGGCAGCCCCCTTTTATGCTCCTAATAAAGGGGTGTTTTCTTCTTGATTATAACTTATAACTTAAAGGTTCAAGGGGTTGGCAGCCCCCTTTTATGCTCCTAATAAAGTGGTGTTTTCTTCTTGATTATAACTTATAACTTAAAGGTTCAAGGGGTTGGCAGCCCCCTTTTATGCTCCTAATAAAGTGGTGTTTTCTTCTTGATTATAACTTAAATTTTGATGAATATTATTATTTGAGAGTTCTTTTGATCCTTTGAGGCATCTTACTTTGGATTTTATCTTTCAATCTAAACAAGTTCATAGTTCCAGATTGTAAGGTAATTTCTTCTTAGATATCTCCGATTTTTACTTGGTATTCTTAGAAGACGATTAGTATCCGAGTACTAATTGTTGCCTAACGTTGCTCACGAAGCGGTAAAGATTCGATTCTAAGTTTTGATTCGTTTATCAAGTATAGGTGTTTAGTTCATCCAATAACTAATTTGTATTAGTTATTACTTGGATCTTGTCAAATCATTAGAACTTGAGTACTCGGAAATTCTAGGAACTCTTTCCTTGAGTTTTCCCATATCCTTTAATTCTAACTTCAATTTTTCTCAATTTCTTTTCTAGTTTTGCTTCCACATTTATTCTCAAACCATACTCTAGCTTGAGATTCCCAACCATTATGTTATAAAGTAGTATCATAGTTGTTCTATCATGATTCTGTTCTTGTTAATCTTTGGAATTATGAACACAACAGCAACAAAAAAAATAGAAAAAAAGTTATTGCAGCAACATGAACAGCAACAACAAAAAAAGTCAAAAAAGAACGAAATTCAGTCAAAAAAACAAAGAGAATCATATTGCTCTTCAAGAAATCAAATTTTATTTCTTTGCTTCCTAATCAAGAACGGAAACAAGAAGAGGGAATCCTAGATCTTTAAGGATTAAAAAAATTCGATGTAAAGATTCCTCCACCAACGCATTAACTCCATTTGTTAGAATAGCTTCCATCGAGTCTCTGCACCTATCCTTTTTTCTGAACCTTTTGTTTGTTTTCAGAAAATAGGATTTTTTGTTAATTCCAAAGTTTCTCTAAATTTGAAAGTGATCACTTAGTAAGTTTCCATACAAAGGCTCAAACCAATTAAGCCCATAGTGTAAATGTCGAATCAAATCATTTGTCCTTATTTCAACAAAAGAAACATGGGCTTCTTCACAAGAACTTTTTTTGTCTTGGTTCCAATTAGACATGTTTAATCTAGAACAAAATGCGCAATCCTTGAATACCAAGTGGAAATAGCTTTCTTATCATTCAATGAGCACCTTGTAGAAGAACTCTTTTTGTCTTGGTTCCAATTAGACCTGTTTAATCTAGAACAAAACGCGCAATCCTTGAATACCAAGTGGAAATAGCTTTCTTATCATTCAATGAACACCTTGTCTTTCATAAAAATTGGGGGCAATATAATCCTTACGTAAGGGCCATCATATCCAACTTCAGAGATAATGAAGGGAGGACTCTTCAAGAGGCCGAGCGCCAAGCAAGAAATGAATTTACTCTACAAGCTATGTCGCAACAACTAAAGATGGACTTTGCTATTCCAAAAGATGAGGGATACCATTGTTCAACAAAAAGAGACAAGACGGACTTAGAAGGGGAAATCAACCTTTTGTACAAACCCGAAATAATTCTAGGCTCCAGAATATAAGGTATGTATCCCATACCCTCATTGTAAATCAAGAAGCCCTATAGATGATATTGTTAATGATATTAATATAAATCTTGACAGGGTAAGAAAAGACAGGAGGCGACAACGAGGTAGGAAAGAAGATGATATATTAGTAGCATAAAGATGAAAGTGTCATCTTCCAAAGGCGCAAGATATCCATACTTGTACCTTGATTGGGAGAGGAAAGTTGAAGGCATCTTTGATTGTCATAACTACTCTAAAGGTAAGAAGGTTAAACTTACTATTGTTGAATCTTCTTAACTATGTTGCTATTTGGTAGAAAAGGCTGACAAGGGACAAACATCAAGATGGAGAACCACTCATTGCTATTTGGGTCGAGATGAAGTGGCAAAGGTTTGTGCCTTCCCACTTTCAAAGAGACCTACAATGTCTTCAGACCTTGAATCAAGGAACCATGACTATTGATGAATACTTTAAAGCTATAAATATGTCCAGGATCCAAGCTAATTGTATGGAAGAAGAATATGCCAATATGGCTAGATCTCTTAATGATTTAAATAGAGAAATAGCTGATGCAGTAGAGATACAATAATATGTAACTATAGATGAGTTAGTAGATTGGTTGTAAAGAGAGAAAAGCAAAATAAAAGAAAGCAACAAGCTAGCTCATGGAGAAGTTGGTCAAACATCAATTTCAAGAAGTCATGGCCAAAACAAGAAGTGACTTCTACACCTCAAGAACACGAGGAAATATCATGAAAAAGAGGGAGGTAAAACTTTTAATCCTAAATCTTCCAAACCATCTAAGTCTATTCAATATCACAAATGTCATATAAGAGGGCATATGATGAATGAATGTCCAAATAGAAGAAATATTCTTTTTAGAAAAGAGGGAGAATATGGGGATGAAAAGAGAGAGAAGGGGAAAATAAGGGACAAAAATCAGCTATTTTAGCCCGAAGATTTAATTCAAGTGCATATGAGAAAGGAAAAATTTCCTACCAAAAGAAAATCAAAATTAGATCCTAGAAGAGATGGGTCATTTGAAGTTCCTTGAAAGGATTGGAGACAATACTTACAAACTTGATTTTCCCGGTAAGTATCAAGTTAGTGCTACCTTCAATGTTTCTAATCTTTCCTAATCTGATGCAGGTTTGAATTCGAGGATGAATTCTCTCCCAGAAGCGGGGAACGATAACAACCATGGAAGCTCAACGCTATTAAAGGACAAGGATGAAGCTTTTGAAAGCTCCAAGAAAACCTATGACAAGATCCAAAAAAAAAAAAAAAAAAAAAAAAAAAAAAAAAAAAGTCAAGCCCAATGGGCTTTATTAGCAATTAAAGAGTGTATTATGATGGAAGAAGAGCTCAAGCCCAAGGAAGATCTTTTCCCCGAGTTTATAACTATTGACCCAAATTGAAGTCCAAAAGGAGGTGGATTAGCGCTCAAAAAGGAACAAGTCCAGCAGCCCAAACTAATGCTTAACTTTAGTTTTCTAGAATATGCCTTTGCTCAATTAATTGAGCCTTGAACGCCCCCCTCCCCCGTAATTTCAGCTTATTTAATTTAGTTTGACCATCCCCTAGGTGATCTCAAGGGGTTGGCATCCCCTTCTACAAAAGAGGTGCTTTTTTCTTCAATATATCTTAAATTTTGATGAATACTATTACTTGAGAGTTCTTTGAACCTTTTAAGGCATCTTGTTTGGGGATTTATCTTTCAACCTAAACTAGTTCATAGTTCAAGTAGTAAGGTAATTTCTTCTTTGAAATCTCCGATTTTTTCTTGGTATTCTAAGAAGGCGATTAGCATTCATTACTAATTGTTATCAAACGTTACTCATGAAGCGGTCAAGATTCTAAATTTTGTAGTATTGCAGAGATACAGAGGTTAAGATGGATGTGTGGTCATATAAATTATATAAGATAAAATTAAAAAATTATTACATTCGCCACAAGGTGCAAGTAGCACACATTGAGGATACAATGAAGAAGCTCGCTTGAGATGATTTGGTCATGTCCTGCGTCGACCTATAGATGCACTGGTCCATAGGTGTGAAGCTATGTTGAGTGAAGATATTAAAAGGGACCGGGGTAGACCTAAAATTACATGAAAGAAAGTTGTCCCGAAAGACCTACAAATTCTTGAAATCAATGTAGACTTAAGATAAGACACAATGGAAGAAAAAAATATCTACTAGTTGTGAAGAGGATTTAGACTTGTTAGACTTGTTATTACTAGTATTATTATTATTATTATTATTATTATTATTATTATTATTATTATTATTATTATTATTATTACTACTACTACCTTCATTATTATTACTACTACTATTATATATACATATATTTAACTGAATTTTCACTTTTACATTTATTTTAAAGAATTACACATAAGTACAACTCATACACATACATTGCAATATAATAACCCAATCATAATTTTGCAAATCTATAGCCCAAGATAATACGCCAAAGTTTTAAAAAAGAGCATTTTTCTATTTATTTATTCTGCATATATCATTAAGCGTGAAAAATAGATTTGGCAGAAAAATCAACAAGTCAATTTCTACATAGATTGCTCTAGAAAA